TCATCTTGAGTATGCTCAACAGGCATGAACAAGTCAACCAGGGGACCAGGCCCAGCCAGCATGGGTTCATGAAAGGCAGGTCCTGCTTGACCAACATCATCTCCTTCTATGACAAGGTGACCCACCTGGTGGATGAAGGAAAGGCTGTGGATGTCATCGACCTGGACTTCAGTAAAGCCTTTAACACCATTTCCCACAGCATTCTCTTAATGAAGCTGGTGGCTCATGGCTTAGGCAGGTGTACTCTTTGCTGGGTAAAAAAAACTGTCTGGATGGCAGAGCCCAGAGAGTTGTGGTGAGCAGAGTTAAATCCAGTTGGCAACCTGTCACAAGTTGTGTTCCCCAGGGCTCTGTTTTGGGGCCAGTCTTGTTTAATGTCTTTATCAATGACCTGGATGAAGGGATTAAGTGTGTCCTCAGTAAGTTTGCAGATGATACCAAGTTGGTCGGGAGTGTCGATCTGCTGGAGGGTAGGATGGCCCTGCAGAGGGACCTGGACAGGCTGGATCAATGGGCCGAGGCCAACTGTATGAGGTTTAACAAGGCCAAGTGCCGGGTCCTGCACTTGGGTCACAACAACCCCATGCAACGCTACACGCTTGGGGAAGAGTGGCTAGAAAGCTGCCTGGCTGAAAAGGACCTGGGGGTGTTGGTTGACAGACAGATGAACATGAGTCAGCAGCATGCCCAGGTGACCAAGAAGGCCAACAGCATCCTGGCTTGTATCAGGAAGAGTGTGGCCAGCAGGAGCAGAGAAGCGATCATCCCCCTGTACTCGGCACTGGTGAGGCTGCACCTGGAATACTGTGTTCAGTTTTGGGCCCCTCAGTACAAGAAGGACATTGAGGTGCTGGAGCATGTCCAGAGAAGGGCAACAAAGTTGGTGAAGGGTCTGGAGAACAAATCCTATGAGGAGTTGCTGAAGGAACTGGTGTTTTTTAGCGTGGAGAAGAGGAGGCTGAGGGAAGACCTTATTGCTCTCTACAACTGCCTGAAAGGATGTTGGGTAGTAGTGAGGTGGGTGTTGGTCTCTTCTCTCAAGTAACTAGTGATAGGACAAGAGGAAATGGCCTCAAGCTGCGTCAGGGGAGGTTTAGATTGGATATTAGGAAAAATTTCTTTACTGAAGGAGTGGTCAAACATTGGAACAGGCTGCCCAGAGAGGTGGTGGAGTCATCATCCCTGGAAGTGTTCAAAAAACGGGTAGACATGGCACTTTGGGACATGATGGTGTTGGGTTGATGGTTGGACTGATGATCTTAGAGATCCTTTCCAACCTTAATGATTCCTCGTTTTTACTTTCATTAAAAAATAATCCAGGCACCAAGCCAGGAAACATGGAATTATTACTCTACCCTTAATTGGTTTAGTGGTGGACTTGGTAGTGTTAGGTTAGTGGTTGCACTTGATGATCTTAAAGGTCTTTTCCAACATAAAAGATCCTGTGATTCTATATCAATGTTCTCCTTAGCCCCCACCCCCAACAAAACCCAATAAGGAGAATAAACATACCTTTTAAAAGGAAGGACTAGTTATCCATCCTTTTATAAGGAATCAAGAAGTACTTTGAGTTTGATGAGGCAGGAAATAGTGCTGTTTTGTATATGCCAATTCCATGTTGCTTAAATGAACAGAACTTGTACCTCTTTCTTTTAACAGTCTCATATGTATTACCCCTCTCATACAAAGAGGAGTAAATTCTGTCAGGCCTTTCATTACTGTGGATGGGACACTGCAAAGTTTTGGGCATTACACCATGAGTTACTCCATGACAAAATTCAAGTTGTCACAGGTTTCTCAAGGAAGAATTTTAAAACTACAGCCTGAAGCCTGTTTCACTTGGATTTTTAATAACATTTTAAAGACATTCAAATACAGTCAATAAAACATTAGCACAAACAATTAATAGGGAATTGACAACTAAAAAGAAGGCACCAAGAAAAGTGGCAACTGAGGACTAAAAAATTGCTGAGCTAGTTGTAGGAAACTCCTTTTCTTTTCACACAATGTCACAAGGCTGTGAACAAGAACTTGTTCATCCTACAGGAAACAAATGAGTTAAAGAATGAAGGGTTTCAGTTTTCCTTTTACCCCCAGGCCACTGGAAGTAGGCAAATCCTTTCCTAGCATATTACCTTGAGGAATATATCTGCATATGCTTGAATATTTGCCATTCGTGTTCACTGCTGTAACAGAAAAGCTTGCCCCATTGTGCAGAGGAGGTACTGTATTTCCAAACATGCATTTCATATTCTCTGTCTGAAAAATGTCATGCAGAAGGTTTACTTTTTAGTTTTTCATATACTGGTTTACACTGTGCTACTCCCTGTAGAAAGGGCTTAAGCTTGTGCTTGATTTATAACAGTGGGACCACTACAATAAGAGAAGTGGGTACTGATGTCTTTCCAGGCTCGAGACCTCTCTTCCCAAAAGTTTTGGGTAATGAACCTTTACCAGTGCGAGGTGAAGAGTTCAGTGGTCCCCTCCAGAAAAGCTCGTGGCAGTGTTAGGAATACAGGTTCCTCCCCTCCTTCTACCCATAGTCCACAATAGTCCATCAAATCAGTTGAACTGCCTCAAAATAGAGCATATGATGGCTATAACATGCTTTACACTCCTTTGAAAGACAAAGGGAGATATGCCACAAATGACTGCCTGGGCAAGGAGCTGGCTTGAGTTTCATCTCCACTAACATTAGCTTTCTAAAAACTAGCACCTAGTTTGGGAAAGTCATATAGGTGCCTTGTCTATGCAGCGGTGAAGGAAGACACACAGTGGCATATCAGATGCATGAGATACACTGCCTTGAGGCAGGGGCTGTACCTCTCTATTAGCTCCTGTCAGAGCTTAGAAGACTATAATTTCCATGCTTAAATAGTTGAAGTGAGGGTGACATGAATCTATTCAAATCTGTGATTACTGATACAGAAGATATAACTGCATGGAGTATCAGAGGAGTCCTCAAATGTCAGAATTTTCTAGAAACTGCCTATAGAAACATTGTTTACCATAGACGTGGTATACATCTTGCTTGACACAGTAGTGTAGCGTAAAATTCTCCTCTCTATTCATGCAAAATAGACTGTCAAAACCAATACTTTCCTGTTAGAGGTCCTGTTCCTGAAACAACTTTGTTTTGGACATTACCTACCCAACCAGATGCACAAGAAATATTGGCCAAATGGATGCAGACAGCTTTGGGCTCTAGAGGAAGAGAACTCAGCTAAGACAGGAGTAATACACGTAGAGGGAAAAGAAAAATCCTAAGAGGACAACTTCATGACTTGCTTTGACGTGTCTGTGCAGCTTGTAGCGGCCAGTGAAAGAAAAAACTATTTTGCTGAACACAGTAGTTGCAAAATAGGAAATGCTTAGCTTGCTGTCTCCTCTGCATAACCACTGAAAAAAGACTAAATTAGAAGCAGAAGTTGCCTTTTCATAAAGTCATGACGCTTCTCAAGTAATCCATTTATACAAGAACTGACCTCTAGACCTCCTGTCTGCTATCAGAAGTGTGGATATGAGTTGGAGCTGAAGTTTGGATCTTATCTGGAGCTGAATTTGGCAAGGAATGTGAAAAATAATAATCATAAGGTCTTCTGTAGGTACGCTGGTCAGAAAAGAAAGATTGAAGAAAGTGTACTGCCCCTGGTAAGTAAGACAAGAAAAGTAGAAACAACTGACATGGAGAAGGCTGAGGTACTCAATAAATTTTTGCCTCAGTGTTCACTGGAAATCACTCTTCCTATATCTGTCAAGTGCCTGAATCTCAAGGCAGGGACTGGAGGAACAAAGCCTCTCCCATCATAAGAGAGGATCAGGTTTGAGACCACGTGAAGACTCTGAGCATACGTAAGTCCACGGGACCCAACCAGACACATCCTAGTGTCCTGAGGGAATTGGCTGATGCAGAGGCCAAGCCACTCTCTATCATATTTAAAAAGTCATGGCAGCCAGGCAAAGTCCCCAGTCACTACAGAAAAGTGAATATCGCACCCATTTTTAAAAAGGGTCATAAGGAGCATCCTGGGAGCTACCGACCGCTCAGCCTCACCTCCATGCCTGGTAAAGTCATGCAGCAGATCCCCCTGGAAGTTACGTGGGAGCATATAGAAGACAGGGAGGTGATTAGAGGAAGCCAACATGGCATCACCAAGGGCAAATCACGCCTGAGTAATCTAGTGCTCCTCTACAATGGAGTGACTGCATCAGTCAATAAGGGAAGAGAAACAGTGTAATCTGCTTGCATTTCTGTAAGACTTTTGGCATGGTCCTCCCCAACATTCTTGCCTCTAAAATGGAGAGATGAGTTTGACAGATGGACTTTTAGATGATAAGGAATTGGCCTCAGCAAGTGTGCAGATGACACCAAGCTGAGTAAGGCAGCTGATTTGCTAAAGGGAAGGGATGCCATCCAGAGGGACCTTGACAGGCTTGAGCAGTGGGCCCATGTGAACCTTGTGAAGTTCAATAAGGCCAAGTGCAAGGACCTGCACCTGGGTCAGGGTAATCCCCAGTATCAACACAGACTCGGGGATGAACAGATTGAAAGCAGCCCCGCAGAGAAGGACTTGAGGATATTGGTGGATGAAAAATTGGATATGAGCTAGCAGTGTGAGCTTGCAGCCCAGAAAGGCAATCACATCTGGGCTGCATCAAAAGAAGCATGGCCAGCAGGTCGAGAGAGGAGATTCTTTCCCTCCACTCCACTCTCATGAGACCCCACCTGGAGTACTGCATTCCAACTCTGGGGTTCCCAGCACAAGTAACAGATGGACCTGCTGGAATGGGTCCAGAGGAGGACCACAAGAATGATCAGAGAGCTGGAACACCTCTCCTCTGAAGAAAGGCCAAGGGAGTTACGCTGTTCAGCCTGCACAAGAGCAGGCTCTGTGGAGACTTTATTGTGGCCTTTCAATACATAAAGGGGGCTTATAAGAAAGATGGAGAGAGACTTTTTACCAGGGCCTGTAGTGACAACACAAGGGGCAATGGTTTTAAACTGACAGAGGGTAGATTTATATTGGACATAAGGAAGAAATTGTTTATGTGAGGATGGTGAGAGACTTGAACAGGATGCCCAGAGAATTTATGGATGCCTGTGAGAGACTGAAAGAGTTAATGTCTCAAACGTTATGGTGAGGCAAGTTAAGGTCTGCATAGAGACAAGTTAAGGTCTCCATAGTGATAAATTAAGGTCTGAATAATGCCACTGAGCCACAGGTGAGAAGCCGATTGGCGCGGAGCCAGGGGGCCTGTTGGAAGATGTGCAGTTTCGCCTTCTGATGGCCGAAGGTCATGCGGAGTTCATTTGAGGAAGGGGCTCACAACCACCCAAAAGACCCCTCGCAACCACCCCCTCCCCCCCCGTGGCACCTGCACAGAAGACGAAGAACATTCTGGAACAAGCCTCAAGGGGGACAAGACTAGCTTATAAAAGACACAACTTCGAGGAGCCACATGCGCACCCCCACCATCAGAAGACTCTACGCTGCTTCTGCTCTGGATCTTCCTCCCCCACCCACTGCCAGCATAGCCAGAGGCCGTGTGCCCCAAGAGCAATGCACCCACCACTGGAGGACTGCCACGTTTCCCATCGACATCACTGGAGCCAACGGTGGTGATCTCTCTCTCTCTCTCCCATATTTCTTCCTTCCTTTTCCTTTCCTCTTGTAAGTATTTCAGTTAGAACCCATGTTGCCTATCGTTGTGCTTTCCTGGTTCGGGTTGCCTACCGCTTTCCAAGTTCAGGTTGGTGTTTACCATCAATAAAGTATTGAATTGATCGTTTGGTGTTATTTCATCTTAATTTAGCCCAACAGAATCACAGAACATCCAGCATCCTCTCTGGGCAGCCCAGTTTGGGTCATGACAATGCCTCATCATTGGAAGTGTGGAAGGTGAAGTTGGATGGGTCTTTGAGCAATGTGATCTAGTGAAACATGTCCCTGCCCATAGCAGGGATATTGGACTAAATGATCTTTAAATGTCCCTTCCAACCTAAACCATTCTATGATTGTACTATGTATGATTGTTCTATGTATGATTGGCTCTCAGGAGCCAATCCAGACATATTGTGTCTTCGCAGGCTTTTGTGTCCCACCAATCAGCCCTGAGTAAGCACATCACTGCAACACCAATCTCCCTGAATGCTTATGTCTTGTTTTTAGGTAAGTCAGTAAGGAACCTTGTATTTAATTCAGTCTGTCCTTTGTACCTAAAAATTCTCATCTGCACAGTATGAGATGCCTCTCACCAAAGTTCCTTTGAAAGCAGGCAAAGAGACAATCTTACACTTCAGTACCATCAAGGCCCTGATTCCACAAGAGTCCTCTGAAGGCAAGAATTTCACAAGAATAGCCAGAGCAGACAGATATGCCTCAGTACCACGACAGGTCTCAAATAAACCTAGGAAAGACTGCTAAAACAGAAACTATCTTGTTCCTACCAAGGATACTTTTTTCAGTTACTTAAGGATATGAAAGAAAAAGAAGTAAGTGTAATGATTTATCTTGGTTAAAACTGTACATAACAAATTTACCATTATAGTCTTGGTAAAATCTCCTGCAGTCACT